AACCAGTCCTCCAATGACGAGAAGAGCGTCCAGGTCGGGATGATGGCGGAACTCTACGAAAAGGCAAAGTACGTGTTTGTCTGGCTTGGCAACGAGTGGGCTCCTGCTTCGGTGCTTGCTTTGTACAAGGGTGTTCCGAGGGTGAAGAACGATCAGAAGCGAGGTGAGCGCCGCCGCAGAACGTAAATCTGAAGCGTGGGAGATCCAACCCTGCGTCTTAACTTACATCGCTCTTGCAGAAAAATACCTCCCGTCCTCTCACTGACGCCCCCATCACAGACCTAGACCCAATCCTCCTCTCCAAAATTCAACGCGCACCCTACTGGCTGCGCGTCTGGACCCTCCAGGAAGCAACTTACAGCAATGCCTTCATCCTCTGCCTCGACGGCGGGGGCGAAGCCCTCTCCACCATCCTCCAGAACTGGGGCTACGCCCATAAAAGTCACCCGGACCCGAACCAGCTCGCCATCAACATGCGTCGAAAAATCATCACGGACGTTTCTACTACGACTGTTACTACTGCAGATGTTGCTGTGAATGTTACAGATGCCGACAAGCATCGAGAAGCGGCGGAGATTGCTGCGCGCCGCGGGAAGTTGGACGTCTACCAGCTCAGAATGCTACTGTACTTACAGTCGACGGAACCCCGTGACAAAATCTACGCCCTACGATCTATATTCCCAGAGACCTTTGGAAAAGTAGCGGTCCACTACACGGATCCCGTAGGAAAGGTTTACCGTGAGGCGACGAGGCAGCATATCCTGGGACAGGACAGTCTCACCCATCTCCTCCTCCTCGATGGAGGAGACACATCGATACCACCGTCACCATCAATATCAACTTCAGCAACAAGCACTCATGTCACCCCCGTCCCAGACCTCCCCTCCTGGGCCCTAAACTGGAACAAACAAACCACAGACGGCAGAATCCTCCTCGACGTCCCCTCATCCTCCTCCCGCAGCAGCAAACCCTCCTACAAATTCTCACCCGACGCACACACGCTCTACCTCAAAGGCAGGAGCGTCGCGCGCGTAGGCGACAGGATCAGCCCCAAACTCCCATTATTCGACCTATCCTTCGTCCTAGCAGACAAAAAGCAAGACTTCATCGCCTGGGTAGGTGACGCCAGACGTATCTCCCAGGCCTTCCTCGCAGACATCTTGTCACCACCGCCCACCGACGCGAGCAAAGAAATTCAAGAAAACGCACTTCAAACCTTTCGCAGCATCCAAGCCCTCCTCGTGCGCATCCTCCACGCAAACCCAAGAACGCAACCCGATGCCGCCTCCTTGACCGCGGTCTCCACACCTTCAGCACTCGCAGAAGCAGTGGCGTCACAGGCACCGCCCGCCTGGTTGAAGATAGGCAACATCACCGCGGCTATGGGCTCTGGCTGCATGTTCCTCACCACTCACAACTACTTCGGGTTCTGCGTTTCGGAACCGCAGCCGGGAGATGAGATCTGCGTCTTTTCGGGGCTAGATGTCCCGTTCGTCGTTCGGTCGAGGGGGAGCCGGGGGTATGTAGTCGTCGGGTATGCGGTCGTCGATGGGGTCATGGACGGAGAAGCGTGGCCTGATGACGAGGGCGAGTTGGCGGAGTGGGCGTTGGTGTAGGTACTTGACGAAGCGTCCCGTCAACCCTCCAGAGCCGGGACCATGAATTCAACCCAGGACACCCAGGAATGGGGCATCTCAGGTAGGATCCCCAAATAAACACAGGAAAAAGAGACACAGAAGGGTCAACAAGACATTACATATACCCATCTCCCCAACCCCAAGCCCGGCCCTCCCGGAATCGGCACCGGCAGTCTGCACCACTTACTCAGCGCCACCCCGGCGGATCCACCAGAAAACACAACCTTACCTTAGCTTCGGACTCAACAATCTCCTCTCCAAAGTCCGAATATCTCGATCTTCGATCCCCCATTTACCCATCTCCCCCTTTCCTCCACCTCCTCTTGAGCCCCAGCCAAGCCCAGGCCAGGATATGCTTCCGTGTTCCCCCTTGCATATTACATCCGTACGGTCCGTACCCGGTCTTAGGAGGGTGGTCAGGCCACAATCCATTCTTTAATTTCGTCTCAACGTCGTCAGTCCGGGGGTGATCACATCAGTGGACTCCATACGGAGGATAGTTTAGACTCTCTGGCGTGTGCAGGTTCCCCAGAGCCAGCGATCTGGGTGATGTTAATGTCATCTCGATCACCACGTGGTTCCGTTTCTTCAGTTCTGGAAATAGTCTGGGGGGTTGTTACTGCTGCACCGTACCGTATTGTACGGTGGTTAACATGATGTCACCCATGGAAATTTCACTACAGTTGACAATATGTGTAAGGTCATGTCGCAGAATGAATATATGAACAGTTGAACATTAAGACAGCAGACAGCTTTTATCTAGTCTATGAAAATAACCCTCCAACGCCGAAACAATGCATTGATGCTGTGTCTAATGCAGGGCGCTCTCGCCCGTCTCCGCCATGAACTTTTGGCAGTTGAGAAGTGTACGTAGCTGATCGCTGACCTCCTCGAGTCTTCCAATGACCTTTTTGTTGCCGTCAACGAAACCTAAGATGGAATATGGGATGCCGGTATCCTTGCAGAACTCCTTGACAAAGACCTGCGCCTTGCGGAGATTGTGCCGCGGGACGCGGGGGAAGAGGTGGTGCACGGCCTGGAACTGGAGACCGCCGTGGATGAAATCCAACCAGGCGGGGCAGTCGACGTCCATGGTGGTGCGAAGCTGGCGCTGGGCAAAGGACTCGGACTCGCCAAGGTCCGAGGTGGACATGCCCCAGTGAGACAGAGTAATCTGAACATGCAGAGGCATAGTGATAATGTGAGAGACCAGAACGAAGGCGATGCGGATGGGCCAGGTTGGAAGAGTGTTGAGAATCAGACGCCAGCCAAAGATGTACCAGAAGCAGGCCATGAAGGCAATCTCAGTCGGGCGAATCCACCAGGCCTTGGAGGCACCCAGGGAGGATGATCTGCGGGACAGGACGTGAAGCCAGGAGAGAAGGTAGAGGTTGAAGCGAGCGATGCCCATGACGGGGTAGTAGGTGTACGCCTGGTACTTGGCGAGAACGTCGGCAGCGGCATCCCAGATGAAGACGAAGCCGTCGTAGTAAGTCGACTTGATGGACTTGAAGAAAGAAGGGCAGGTAGCGAAGAGAGGGACGTTCTGGATATCGGGATCGTGCTCCTGGGACGTGTTAGTTACGTAGATCGAGACGTGATGAATAATACGGAAGACTTACAGGCTGGTTGGTAATGAGATGGTGGACATTGTGACTGCTCTTCCACCATCCCATAGAAAGGCCGCAGCAGAAGTCGGCAACAAAGAGACCAATGAGGGTGTCAAAGGTAAAGTTGTGGGTGATGGCTCCGTGTCCGGCGTCGTGGGCAGAGAACATGATCTGATGCCAGAATAGACCCAAGAAGCAGGCCGAGGTCATGTACCACTCATAGTGCAGAGCAGTGAGGAAGAGGGCGAACAGAGTCGAGTATCTGCACATCTCCTTGCCATAGTCCAAGTAGGGGCAGTCGTAAAGACCAGCATCCTTGATACGCTCATGAAGCAGGCGGTACTTTTCCTGGATATCGCGCTGAACGGCAGGGTCGAGAGAAGGGTACTCGTCGAGATCCTTGTTGATGTTCTGTTGGATGGACCACTCGGTGTACTGGTCGGCGGTCATGCGGCTCCGGCCCGACAGACCGGGGCCGGCGGCGAGGGCATCGTCGGTTGGGTCTGCAGGTGCAGCAAGACGACGTCTAATGCCCGTCTCCGTCTGGGGCTCGGGCTTGGTCTCGACCTCTGCACTGCTGCATTCGGAAGTCAGGGACGTGCGGGAGCTCCCGCCAGATACATCGGAGACGGCATCGTCGGCGGAGTCATCTTCATCGAGATCGGACGAGGGGCAGTCGACGGCAGCGTCCGTGGCATCATCTGCAGTAGCACCGGCAGCGTTGGGTGCAGATGCGGGTGTTGTGGTCTCTTGCTTGGTGTAGACGCCGCCCCTAATTGGTGGTGTCATGTTGATCCAGGGACCCGCAGGTTTCCGGCCGATCCGAAAGGCCTTCATGGTGTTGAGTGTGGCAGCCGAATGGTACCTGTCAAAAGCGATATGTCAGCACACTAATTCCACTTAACGCATCAACAACGGAGTCCGAATGTCCAGCGAATCCGAAATATTAATTGGCCCTTTCCCCCTTCTCCCACCATTTGGACCATGTGGGAAAATAAGCTTAACCAGACTGCTGATTATATCTCGGTCGCTTTCGCATTCCCGGATGCTTCTTTTTTCCCGACGTCCCACCCCTTTTCAGATTATTTATCCGAACCCGCGGGAATGATGGGGGCACGCCGCATAAGGGTCCAGATTCGGAGGGGGTTCTCAGCCTCAAGCTGAAGATGGTGGGAGGGGGGCAGATATGATGCACCAAAAGGTTAATTGGACATGGAAGGTAAGTCGAGCCTCTTACACTTTGATCTCGTCGGTCGCATCTCTTCCAACCATGTGCAGGATAGCCAACTGGCCACCAGGATGCTTGCCCATCCACCCGTCGAGGCGAAGAACCATTTCGTCAAGAATGACAATTGTGCGTCCATCTGCAATCATGCCCTCCACCTCGCGGGGGGTGATGATTCTGCTATCACGATCCATTTTCGTAACTGTATGGATCGTTTCGTTATTCGATTAAGAATTTGCGCTGTGTAGCCAAATTTCGGATTCGTCGAAAAAAGAAGGATCGACGATTTCTTATTTGGTGGGTGGTGGTGACAAGGTTTCGTCAACGTGGTGAATTCGAGAGGGTGACTGCTAGAAGGCAGGAAGGGAAGGTGCGGTCGAACTTGGCCCAACGAACACAAAACCCCAATCGAACTCAAATTATCGCCACACAGTTGCGTACAAGGTCAACAGGCAGTTGAGGTCCAGTCGCAAGAGGGTAGGAAGAAGAAAAGGGAAGAGTCGGTTCGGTGGTGAACCTGGGTAGGTGATGGTGATGCGCCGGGGACGAACTGGCTGGTCGAAGGTGGGTGATGCGGTATTTACGTATTATCGACCTTGGGTTGCTTGGGGGGTGGGCTGGCTGGCGGCAGGCAAGATGCGCGGTGACAGGAAAGCTTCAGGACCCTGTCGGACAGCTTTCGGTTCGAGATGGCGAGAAAGAGAATTTACGGCAAAGGCGAAGCAGTCGACACTCGTGCCATTTTCAGATGAGAACAGACGACATGGACATGACCTGGGAATTAGGAAGATGGAGGGGGGGCAGGCTCTGGATAAAGGGCAGAACAAACGAGCAAGAGTCAAGAGAGAGAGGGACGGGAGAGACAAGAAACGGGCAGACGGGACAACGGGCCAACGTAACAGGGCGACGGGGGGTGTGAGGTGAATGGGATAATACTGGATGGATGGATGGATGGATACGGATACTGGGGGGAGGAGGAGAGACGAGACGAGACGAGAACGTGAGAAGAAACGTGGATGGAAAGGAGCAGCGCAACAGGCAAGCCGCAAACCAGCTCCATCCAGGAGAGAAAGAGAGAGAAAGAGCAACAACCAGCACCAGCAAAAGCACCACCAAGTACACCATACGAGACGAAGCAAGCGGCGGCGGCAAAGATGCCAGGGACGGTACGGTACCTACTCCGTATACCCCGTGGCTCATCCCCGTACGAGACTACGAGTAACGAGGAGCAAGCAGGTCGTGCAGTGAGTGCGTGGAGCGTGGAGCGTGGAGCGAGGCGAGGGTGCCCAGGTGGTTCTTCAAAAGATTTGTGGATCATTTTTTTCCATTGCATCCACACCCACTTGGTTTCTTGGATTCACCACCAAGAGTCAACCCACTGCCACAAGTGTGTGCGAGCTGCTGTTGCTGCTACTCATAGTGTGAGTGTGAGAGACTACCGTCGGTCAAGGACAGCTTGTCTTCGAGTTAGGCAGGTCGAAACAGTGCGCGTGGGTTCTTGTGGGAGGTGCAAGTGACTGGATGGGGACGGGATGGATATGGGGGATTGGGATTAGGATGGGACATGGGCCATGCCATGGGCCATACCATGGGCCAAGGGTGAGAGAAACTGTGGACATGGAGACATGACATGGTGCAGGGGGGCGGAGGGGGAAACCGATGGAGAGACTCTCTCTCATCATTGAGATGCAAGAAAGTAGTCTTTCCAATCTCCCCGACTAGCTTCCCACTCCCAGATGTCCCGCCAAGACAAAAAGGAACCGAACATCAGCCAGGTTGTGGTGGTTGTGGTTGCAGCCAAGGTATCGGATTGCTGTGCCTACAAAGTGGTGTAGGTAAGGTACTCTGTGTGTCTGTATGCGCAATGGCGTAGCTGTGTGGACATGGCAATCAGACATGTGGTGAGTGAGTAAAAATGAAAGAGGTATGAACAGGTAAGGAGAAAGCTAAACAAACAAAAATATCTGTGTGTATGGAATATTCGACGCTGAAAATGCAGGGCAGAATGAATGACAGCGAGTATTCGTATGAGTACGCAGAGGTACGCAGGTACGAATACGTACGAATAATAGTATGGACACATACGCGCAAGTTTGCAAAGAAAAAAAGATTGACAGAATGGAAATGGACGCGCCCAGTTCATTCAGGGCCAGGCCACACCCCTCCCCATCTGCCAATCTTGTTTCCCGAATCCCCCCCCCTGATCCAATCTAGTAAATTGGCCGTTGGCGCTTTCGCTAGCCCCGGGGGCGCAGCTTGTTGCGTTGCTGCTCTTCTCTTTCTCGCCTCTTGGGAGCTTGGGGCCACCGGGCTTGCTGGAGAATGGGGGCTGGGCTCTGCAAGGTGCAACTATGCATTGGCCATTTGCCTTTGCCTCAGCACACGGCAGATAGCAGACGAGAATAACAGACGAATGACTCTAGATTGAAGCAATTGTAAGAGATTTACGGAGAGTGAGACTCGAAAATCAAACGAAATGGGCGTGTACCGGGGTGAGCGAGGATGGAAGGAGAAAAAAATTAAAGAAGAAAAAAGGAGAAGGAGCTTATCTGATTGACACCGGTTGACCTTGCGCCGGCCGGGGGGCCTGGACTGGGCAGTGGGAGCCTTGACAGGACCCTGAAAGGCTGAAACGATGAATATTGGGGTCCTTCTCAAATCAGGCACTTTTCCAATGTTGGAGAAGGCGGTGGATTCTGCCATTCTGGAAGGTCATTCCTTGTCTTTGCCTCCCTACCATTGGACCCGAAGACGGTACGAAGTGCGCGGGTGGTGAGCGGTGCGCAGTGCGCGTATTACCTGAACATCACATCCATCACGGTCGACATGGGGAACCGTGACGGTCACCGGAACACGGCTGAGGAAAACCGAGGAAAGAGAAGAGCTCCTTGGGACTTTCCACTATTCAAACCTTGGGGGCTCTTGAGTGGGTGAATAGGTAGCTTGGCAGGGAAGGAAGGACCGTACTCGATACGGAGGGGCGGGACCACCTTGGCAGGAAGTACGCACTTCAGTACGCGGGTGCAAGTGCGCCGCAGGCTAAACTGTTGCAACGCAATTGCCCAATTCTCCATTCTCCAGACTTGCACCTTCCAGGTTTCTGGGGCTTCGCGTTGCCCTTTCCCTCATTCACGTAAGCTCCTTCCCAAGTCACTTTCCAACAGGCTAAGACTAGGCAAGACCAAGACCAAGACCAAGCAAGTGCACCCCTCCGAAGACTTGGCAGCCGCACACAGACACTTTGGCATTTCGCACCACGCACCTCGCAAAGAGTGGAAGAAAGGAAAGAGCGAAGAAAAACAAGTTGGCAAGAGTCAAGAACCCCCAAGAACACGCGTCTTGAGTGGGAAGCGCGCCAGAAAAGAATGGAGAACAAGTGGGACGAGGACCCAGGACCCTTGAAACTCAATTCCACCGTCCCGCGAAGAGACACCAAGGACACATTGACACAAAGACGGCACCTGCTCTGAGAGAGACGGGAGAGACTAGGAGTGTGGCGATTGTGCTGGGAATGCCCTTTTCTCCCATCGAGCCTTGACTCTTGAGTCTTGACTAGCGTAGAACCGAGAACCCCTCATACGGCAGATCCGTCTCCATGGTTGAGTCTTGACTGACAAGTGCATGTGTGGGTGGGAGAGTGAGAGGAGAGTCTGGAGTCAAAACGTGACCCAAGTTTTGAACATGCGATAGAATGTTTCTGGAAATGCCGCTCAAGCTCTGGCTAGACTCTCTCGTCTTGGGGGGGCCTTGGCCTGGTTTGTATGTGTGTGTCGCAGTCTTGGTTGGAGCGGCTGTTTGAATCTTTTGGCCCAATCCCATTGCCTCGTCTCTTGGTTTTCTTGGTTTTTCTTTGACCTCTGATTGCACATGGCAACTTGGCAAGCCGCAAGACCTCAAAGGGAACTGTTTCCCTCGGCTACTGTACGCGGTCCCATTGAACCCCGTCCACCTTGGTCGCTTGCCCCTCCCTGGTCCTTCCTTCCCCGTGCGAGGTGGTGCCAGGTGGTGGCTCATTTAGCGAGCCGAGCTGTTGGGGCGGAACCAGACGAAATTGGCCCGAGGGAAATGGCGCGCCTGTCAAGGCAGCGCCGCAGGGGAGGGAGGGGCAACTTGGGCAATGGCAAGCCAAGGGGGGGTTCGGAACTTGAAAAGCCACAAGTTGGCAAGCTCGTCTAGCGATAGTATCCGTTCGAAATGCGAACGTGCTTTGATCTTCCAAGTCCTATGACCCACCGTTGATAACGAACTCAACGTACGGATACCCGCGGGAAGATTAATTGATGAAGGACAGACATCATGTTACAATCCGAAATAAACGCAACAAAAAGATGATGGACGGGTGGCCAAGTGGGGGCATCCCGCAAACCGAGGTATGGAGCAGGAAGACGGCAAGAACGACCAGAAGCAAACTCAGGAAGCAGCAAGCAGCAGGCTGCGAAAACGGGAAACACCGTAATCATCCAATGGCCAGGCTCCAGCCTCTTGGCTAACGGAAGTTTCCCCTTGGCGCCGCCGACTGCGCCTCGCAAAGACCCCACAAAACGTCAACTGCGAACCCGAAGCGGGAGGGGATTGATGGATGGCGCCGACTTCCTCTAGTTCCCATCATGCGGCATGCCTCTATCTACCATCTACCCGCGGTTTCTCTACTACCTGAGGTAATCTATACTGCTCATCTATCTAACCTCACATCACGGCACTCTATCATCTACCAGCAGGATGTGCTCGTGCTGCGTGAGAGGTGGTTCGCCGATGGTCACACATCTCGTTCCAATTTAACCTCCTGATTGAGCGTCATGTCGCAGCAATGGCCAAAAACCTAGCCGCTGGGGTGCTCCGCGCTCGTCCTATCTAACTTTTTCATCTGCTTCCCTATTTTATCTCGTTCCGTGTTTGCGAGACGAATGAGACGAGGCACACAACACACGCCAAACAATTGGCATCCCATCTTTTCGGGTACACATAGGTAGGTGACTTTTTTCCCTGCAGGCCGGCTGCACTGCACTTGCTGCAGGCCTTCCATTGCGGGATGGTGGCTGCATCCAATCACCATACACGGTGCACCTACATCAGCAACATCAGCAGGTTCCATATAAGAGGACCAAGCTGTGCTGTATGCGTCTTTTTTTCCCCGATTCGTTTCTATTCGGCAACAAGAGTTTCCAGACTTTTACCACCGAGCTCGTGCCAGCCAGCGTTCCAGCGCCTACCTAGCGAGAGAGTCAGCTCCGAAATAGCGCTCAGCTGAGTATCTCGCAGCCGAGGTGTGTGTACCTAGGCCTTAAGCCAGGTGGTGGTTGTTGGCTGAATCGCTTTTTGCCGTCTCACCTATCCAATATCCCGGCACGGTGACGCTGCATGTGCTGCTGCTGCTGCAGCGCAGCAACACCAAGATTGAATTGAAGAAGCGGGAGCGGGCTGAAACTGGAACAGCTGCCATGCCTGTCATCCCAGAAAATCTATACAACTTCGAAAAGGAACCCCACTTAACAGCCACGACTAAGGACCAGGGCCCAGGGGTGTGGTGAGCGAAGCGGAAGTCAGCAAGGAAAATAGGTGCGAGCCTGGCGAGGTGCCATCGCCAATGGAGTGCCGCAGGAGAAAAATGTAGGTACCCGGAAGCAAGGCCGCGTACGTAATATCCCGTATCCATGTTCGAGACCGTTGAGTGGCACAGTCTGTCATGGGGCTCGCCCGTCCGCGGGTTCAGAACAAATTGATGGGAAAGGGGAGGGATTTGGGGTCATCAGGGAGAGGGGAAGGACTTCTTGGGAGGGGTGGGGGCGTCGTATGGATACCTACGCAGTAACGGATACAACCATTCGACCAATTCTGCCAACTCCCAAGAATATCTCAGAAAAGTGGTACGGCCAGACGACGATCCCTATGCAACTTTTCAAACTTCCTAGCTTCCGTTCACCGTCTCGGATCTTTTGACACTGTGGATAGCCACATTCGATGGAGAAGAGAAAGAAAGAAAGCAAAGGGGAAGGAAATAGCGTCATTGGTGTCGCAAGTCGGCTTGGATTCCCATTGAAGCCATAAGCTAGACGGACAATCAAAAGTGGGATGTTGCAGGAACAACACAAGACGATCCGAATAGGCGGCATGCAGAAAAGGCTGATGCGCAGTTGGAAAGCGCAAATCCCATACGCGTGATACGACCGAGGGAGGCAAAGGAGGGTTGGCAATACGCAATAGCGGAGACTAGCAGAAAGGGGTTTGGCCGTTCCGTCTGGCAAATAGCC